CTTTGCATCAGTGGCTTCCTAGATTCGAGCGGGGGCATTTGTGTAGCTGAGATGTTGTTGTTGTTGTTTCTCACATTAGCTCAATAGTCCACAAAAAATGCGGAGCCCGTGGTCTCAAAACCCGGCACATACGACGCCGCGAGGAAGCAAAAAAAACAAAAATAGGGTACAAACCACTCGGAATAAGAATAAAAAATGATAGAAAGAGAAGAACAGGTATCGCACCGACCGTTCGAGAAAAGAGCCCTCGGACACCGATCAAAATAAAACAAAACAAAAATAAAGGAGGACGCTTCCCACACCCGCCCAAAGAAAAAATCAAAGGGTAACGTACCAGCACCAGGCACCACGCACCAGGGCATGGGAGTAACGGAGCAAACAGGGCAAAGAGGCGGCAGATGGGCAGACAGCCAGATGTACAAAAACAAAGGCAACAGCAAAGCGAGATCAAGGTACCCAACACAGCAGAGTAGGCAGGGAGGTCATGAAAAAAAGAAACACAGCACAGAGGCCGAAGGCAATACAAAGGACATACATGAAGGAGTATAGCATACAGTAGGGAGGGAAACAGGGCGCATCAACATCAGCCGGGTACATGGTTCGCCACAAGCGCTGCCTCGGCCGCCCTACTCGCTTCTAAAGCAGTGCCCGGTCGCCATTTCTTCCCCCCCACCGCCGCTTCGCCGGTTCTCTTTCTCTTCGGTCCTGAGATGGTCGTACTCTCTGCTTGTGCTTCCCTCGCGCGCTGGCGCTTCGCGGACGCTTCCGCCTCCTGCCTGTGCTATTTCCTCATGAACCATGCCGCCCCGTCCTCGACCTTGTTGTGCCACACCTCCGGGTCCTTGGCACTCTCTGTGTCTACGTGGAAGAACATGTAGAGAGAGTCGTATTGGCATTCACATCAAGCGCATTTGAGCATTTTTCGAATTTTGGCCCCTTCTTTTCAGGGACCTTGATTTTTACGCTCTGGCACTGACGTCTTTTAATTGGTCAGCCGGTTCGCGGGGTCGATGCTACAGTTCCACCGGTTGTCCCGCGGATTTCAATCGACCGGCCATAACTTCATCAATAGTATTTTTTTTTTAGTATTGATGTCCATCCCAAATGCCACAAGAGTTGTTCAGGGACAAAAAAATCGATTTGAGACGTTTCTGAGAATTCGTGGTTTTCGTATAGGTTTTTCCAGGCGTTTTGGGGAGGGAGGGGATGAAACTTTTCGTCCAATATCTCGATAACCACTATCGTAATCATGCCGTTTTTTTTTGTTCTTGGTTGATATCGGCGGGGTTTGAGCAGGCGAACGCGATGGCGCCCTCAAAAAAAAAAAAATACTCAACAAGTAGATAGATATGCACATTTGAAGGGGGGCACAAGAGATTGTACCCCCCTTTTCTGGTCGCAAAACATATATCGTTCAACGCTTGACATTTCGTTGTTTTCGCTTCATCGTTGGGAAAACCCTGTATTTACACTCGATAACACTCCCTCGCACTACGTTTTACGATTGCCAAAATACTAGTCTCCTACATACAGCACATCGCCTGCCCAATGCTACCGATCGTATCGACCGGGAGGGAAACGCAGCCGGTCGAAAAAAAAACGGACAACAAACTTCGTGGACAACCGACACCGACAGAAGCAAAAGTCGAGGTCATTCTTTCGAACCCCATACACAACGTACCGACTCTTAGCATAAGTTACTTGGGGTTAATGTATTCGGATGGAGCCGGCTTACGGTGCGACTTGCATTTCTCTTGCGCATCTACCGCCTCGGCGCCCGTAAGCCCTGCGTTGTACACCGCGTGGAAGTTGGCACTCCTTCACAACGGCGCGGAAGTACTCGACTCCTTTCTCCCAGCCTGCCTTGCACGCAGTGGCCGCCAAGGCTGCCTTCTCCAGCTGCGATCTATGCTTTGCGAGCTTGCGCAGAGCCTCTGCCCTTCGCACACCCCTGTTGCTCTGGCGCTTGAGGAATGCAGTTCGCCAGACATACTCATGTTTGTCCACTTCTACCGCCGCATTCAACATCGCGGTGGAGAGGTCCCGCACATGCATGTCAGCAAACTCCAGCTGGCCTTGCTCCACGCGCGCCTTGTATGTTGCCATCATCTCATGCCCCTGCAGGTGCAGCACGCTTTGCAGGTGGTGTGTGGCAGGACAGCAGTCTCGTGGCCGTTTGAATCTTGGAGGCGCCGGTCCGAATTTGCTCGTGTCTTTCGAGAGTGTGGCATAGCGGTCACAATGAGATGGTCGCCAGACAGCAGCGAGGGCCGCTTCGGCCGCCCAGTCACGGGCCTTCTTGTTGGACTTCGGATACTTGATGCAGTCGGTGCGCCAACGCGTGGTGACTCCGCCCAGGTCCGCTGTCACCTCCAACCGATACTGTTTGGCACCCTGCACTTGCTTTACACTGAGAAGCTCACCACCGCGTTGAGCCAAGCCTGCCCTGATGCTCTCCAGCGGCTTAGGGCGTATAGCTGAAAAGACATCGAGCGTGAACCACGAAGTCTTTGGGGCAGCGCGTGCGCGCGGCCGTTGGTGTGATGTGCGACTGCTGTGCGACGATTTTTGAAAAATTGGCGGCGCAATTTTTTTGCGGTGAGCCCAAAAAGGTTCGGAAACGGAACTAATTCAACAAAATAGAACAATAGAACAGGAAGAGACCTTCAATATTCTGCAATTTTTTTCGGTTGGTTCGCCGTGGTTGTCGAGAAATCGTGGATTTTGTAAGGTGAAGTGTCCCCCGCAACGATGGCAATAGGCCCATAACTTGTTATTGAGAAGGAACCAACCGCTATTTAGTGGCTTATTCGAACGCTGCTGGCTAGAGCTTTCCAACGCATATTTGTTTGTCGCCCAAATCATTTGGGCTCCCTCTTTTTTTTATTTCCCCGCCCCAAAATCGGGGGACAACCAACCGGTTGTTGTTGTTGTTGACTTCACATTAAACCGTATGCCAGTTGCTTAATGNCAATAGGCCCATAACTTGTTATTGAGAAGGAACCAACCGCTATTTAGTGGCTTATTCGAACGCTGCTGGCTAGAGCTTTCCAACGCATATTTGTTTGTCGCCCAAATC